CGCCATTTTGTAGTAGTTGAAGATATTGACATTATATTCTAGGGTTGTGAAGCATTTGTCAGAAGCTTCACAAGACCCCCCTTTCCATTTATTTTTTTTCCCAGATAGCGCCCAGTCGTCATCTTGAAAGTTTCATCTGTCAATTTCATAACAAAATGAAGTATTCATGCATTAATTTCATTATCCCAAATTTCAATTTTTTGAGTTGACCCGTTCAAAAAATAAGGGGGGGGGACATTAAAGAAATGCACTGTAGATACGCAACTATAAGCCTAACCACCATTGCATGCGGCGATATTTCTTATCTCGTTCTGATAAATTACGGATAGTTGATACGGCCAAATCTCAAAATGCTTCTGGAACTCCAGATTTTTTGTGAGTTTGAGATCTCTTTTATTATTTTTGAGAATATTGGGGAGTTTCAATATTTTGAACAGAAATCACAAAAAAATTGAACTTTTTGGCTTGACATTCAGTTCTTCCATTATTTTAACGTGAAAAGTGGTAAGCATTTTGGAATCGTTACTATGGGGATAAATTGAACTTTTAACCAATCTAAGTTTGATTTGCTCAGAGAGTTCATATAACTTGAGAAGTTAATTCACGTGTTCGTTAATTAATATAGAGGTGGTATAAGAGGTATATATAGTATACCTACTTTTTTTTTCCCATAAGATTCGCATTCCCAATTGAAATCGCTCATTTTGACCGGCGAACGAAATAAATGAATTCGCATGTGTGAGGAAATTCACTATACATACCGAGTGTTGTTTCGCGGCGGTACCCTAGTATTTTAAAACCTTTTATAATTCATTAAAACACGTTACATATCGCTCATCCCGATTTATGAAACGATTTTGAAGCGATAATAAAACCGTGACACAGGAAATGACAATACAGGAAAATGGCAATGAGCACTTGAGTCAAGATTTATTTTTAGGACAAAATTCCACTGTCTCTGGTTTTGTGTAGAGATTTAAATCAGATAGATTACTTCTGAACTCCAGATTCACCTATTTTATTGCGTTAAGGCAAGTATTTTTCCAGTATAGACATTCATGAATCCATCTAAACTCCGAAATATACTTAATCCGAACCCTTTGACTGTCGGTAAAACCAATTACCGCCTCCTATCAAAATAAACGCGAACCTTATTGGATTCATTATCTATAAACTGGAAATCCAAAGCCCCGATGTAACTGGAGATATCCTCTATAAATAAATTCTACCCGGACAACGAAGAAATAAAAAGAAAAGGAAATTCTTCGGAAAATACTTGAAGTTTGCTCCATTGCATTCATTTGTCTGTATACAGATTATTTTTAGATTCAAGTGACGGTATTTCAAATACCTAGTCTAAATAACTACGGCCGTGAATCGAATGATTTTGTTGCGTGTGCTTATAACCCCCGTCAAAAACACATTCTTGCCGGGGAAAACGATGATATATATTATATACGGAGCTGTTTGTGATGAGAAATCCACATTGAATAGCTTGACAATCGAACAATCCTGTTCTTGGGTTGGGCAGGAGCTCTTAGTCATTCGTGCAAGTGGTCATCAACATTGTAGGATTCGAACCCTAAGGATTTTTTTGTGGGAGCATTAGAAGTATTTATTGTTGCTCTTGTAAGAACGTGAATTTCCTTACTAGAGGAAAATGACTCGGGGAAACATAAAAAGGAAAAAATTTATCCAAGGCATTTCATACTGCATTCTTTTTAATTCTCCCAAATTTAATGTATCGTGAACAGTTGTTTCGAATTGGAGACACAATGTTTGACCTCAGATCAGTTCTTACATTGTTAATATTTATCGTCAGTTATCAAAAATGTCATCAATACCTGATGCCAAATATAATTAAAAAAATCAACCACACTGAGAAAAACTGAGAAAGAAAGAGTATGTGTGTACTTATGTACGCACGTAGATAGATGTCTTTGCTTTAACTCTGTTAGTAACTTTTTTCGAAAAATTAAAAGGTGGACTAGCTAACTGCAGGGACTTCTTCCCCGATCGCGACAGAGGACGGTTGTGGCGATAACGACCGTCTTCAAAGATGGCAGTGGGGTCCAAAAGTGGGGTGTTTTTAAAATAATAAAGTCAAGTTCGAATAAATATTGAAATGAAAGACATTTTGGGAGGAGTGGCGGCCCCCTACACCAGTAACCAGGCTGGATGTCAACGGATTCGACGAGGTCGTCACTGCGATAATAGATGTCTTATTTGTGAAAGTCATATTGAGAGGTCTGGCGGTCCCGTAGTAAAAAATGAAGTGTTTTTATAAAAGAAAACGTAAATGAGAAAACTTAGGGTGGTAGCATTGCCTTGAGCAAGACAGTTGCGCCCCCGGACGGAGCTTCCTTTTCAATATGGACAGGAGGAGTCTTACCAAATGCGCCCATATTAATTAAAGAAGAAGAAGAAGCTAACTTCAGGGTGCCGGTTTTTCGTGGCGATGTGCGCGCACATCGTAAAAATTTACTCTCATCATTTTTCCCTAACGCGCCAAAAGAAGTATAACTTCAAAAATTGTGAATGGTTGGAAACAGTTGAAATTGCAATATGATTCATTATCACTCTTTTGGTACTCATGGAGGCTAACACTGTAAGGGTCTTATAATATTATGTTATGGTATTTTCTTGGAGTCCTAATCTGATATATGATCTCAATTGAATTCCTCCAGAAATGGACACACTGTGCTTCAGGTTGCTAAAGCTGCTTGTTCTGCAATTGCGGTTGTTGAGTTTCTGTCGATTGAAACGAGATTGAGGGTGGGTACTAAATTTTCATTCCACTTAGCCGTGAAGAGTTTTCGATTTTCCTGTTCCAATTATATTTACTTCGAAATATGTTGAAACAGGTAAATCTGGACTTGAAACTATGTAATAATTAGATCCTGAGATTTCCTTAGATTTAAAATGCATATATAGTTTCGTGGTACACAGTCGCACTGCATGAGAATTCATTTTGGGTACAGCTATATTTTTTTGAAACTACCACTTCAATTGGCCAATCATTCATCGGTTTTTATCACCCCCTCATCTGCTATTAGATGCTAGTTGATAAAAAAAATTGAGAATCCTTTTCTCCAATCTCAACCGTTGTTTTTTGTTACAGTGGACAAGGACACAAGACTGCGTACCCTAAAAGAACGCCAAAATGAGGAAAGGCAAAGAAAACTGGAGGAAATCAAAGCACAAGCATTCGCGGCACAAAGATTCAAAGAGCAAAAAGAACAAGAACGTCGCCGAAGGTTAGAAGATTTGCGGCTGAAGGACGATGTCAAACGGCATCAGGTCGAAGAGAGAAAAAGGGCGATACACGAGGCCGAACGGGACCGACTAGAATCGATAATAAAAAGGAACCAAGAGCGAGAGCATAGGCTCGATACGAAAAAGAAACACGAAAGGAGCAACATAGTTTTCGCTTTTGGTTCTTCGACACCTCGAATGCTTGAACCCTCGGATATGACGATGTCTTTCTGGGGACACAGACGAGCCACATCCATCCAAAATATCACATGTTCTTCGAATTCCGCTTCTTCGTTGACGCGAAGACAGTCCGAAAGAGATTTCGATGTGGGAAACAAAAAACGTGCTACATCTGCCACCGGTCTGGAGAGAACTGGAGAAGGTAAGAGAGTCCAGCTTTACGTGAAGACGATGCATCGGAAAGAAAGTGTAGAAAGTTGTTGAGATATAGTGTCTTTTCTGATATAAACAATTTAAATTATTGGTGTTGATAGTTAGATAGAGATTTCAGGTATGGATTGATCAATTGATCGTACCTCCTACACCGTCTGTTGATTGATCACCAACTTTACTCTAATCTTTAGAATTGATTCCTCCTAGTGTGTTTCGTTTTGTGTGCCCGTTTGTTCAGAAAGTTATTCTATGAAATTAAAATTCGAATCGAAAATTCTTGTCCCCTTTTGATATTATTTCCATCTTCTGGATAGAATAGTGATTCTATTATTTATTCAAATGTCGAGTGTTCCCATATTCTATGAATATTAGCTGTGGCTTACTGAGTGGTAATTTAATTTAGTAATTCTATTCATTTTAACTGAACTACTTTTGAGTAACTAACCATTAGCGCATTGGTACGGAACCAGACTAGAATGTGAGTTAATAAAAAACACACTGGAAAAATATACCCTGGAAATGATTCGGGAAAACTTCAATAAAGAGACCGTCAGAGAAAAGAAATGAAGAACTGTTTCAACAGAGCATGGATCGACTCAGACCCGTCACAGGGCTAATATAGAAATGTAGTCTTTTACGGCTGGTGTCAATGTTTTTGTTGGTTTCCGGATTTTGCCGTGGTCTTTTTTGGTTACAAACTCCAAACGTTTCAACTGCAACTGAGGCAGTCATGTTCAGTGGCGTGGTCGGAATACTGTTCTTGACGTATCAACTGAATACAATCTCGAAACGTTTCAATTGCAACTGTGGCAGTCATCTTCGGTGGCGTGGTCGAAGTACTCTTGACGTGTCATCTGAATACGTCAAGAAGAGTTAGGTTATGTTAGGTTAGGTCCAAAGTGAACGGGTCTATTCGACCCTCCACCGCAACTTGCAAAGGTTTATTGTGGCTCACACCTATTCACACTCGACCAAATAAATCCAGCTTCTTAACGAAGCCGATTAGTTTGTATGGTGAGTGATCTTTCAGGTCAGATGGTAAGAGTACGGCTCTGCCGAACTCTAAAAACCTGATTCGGTCCTAAGCGGGGCAGGCACTGCTGTTTCATCGTTAATGAGGTAGTCGGATAGGGCAAGATTCTCACCTTGATACCCGCGACAACCTTCCCATATGAGGGTTTTTGCACGTCAGCTACACATGACGATGCCTTAGATTGAACCGTGCAGGGCTTTTTCGCCTCAGCTTTTGGTGAATCATCACTTGAGCGCAAACGTTAGCTACCCTGTTCCTCCACCTGAGACAAATTCTGCGTACGCTGCTCCAGAATTTGGTGCAAGGCGGCTTTATAAGGTACCCCGCTCTTGAGAAAACGGCACAGTCGTTTCCTGGCTGCACTACCAGATCTTTTTTTTAGGTTCAGTTATTGAATCAGGAGTTGGAATGTTGAGAAGCTCTCGCTCCTGATCTAAATTTATAGGGTGGTCAGTTGGAGTCGTAAGCTCGACATCTATCTCCTCTGTAGACTCAGCGTCAGAAAGAATTTTTGAGTTTACTCTATCCATAAAAGTCAGGGAAACAAGGTCAATCACGGTAGAGTCCCGAATTACCATGACAAGGCGATGCTACGACGAGAGGGCGCCCGGTATCTCGAAGGTTCCGTAAAGACAGCTGATAGTCTCAGTGTCACCTTAGGATTAAGCCATCGTTGGGATGCCATTCAGTTGGGAAATAACAGAACCACAAGTGATTCTGTCATTCCCGTATCCAGCGGGGCTACGTGGAAGCAGACATCCAATGGCCGGTTTGCTCAACCCCCACATCCCAAGCCAATGCACTCGCCAAAAACAGCATGCACAGTGGTTCAGGCAGTGAAAGATGAACAAGGACAGCCAACCCGCCGTCAAGAAGAGTACATCGACCCCGCCATTGAGATGACTACCGCAGTTGCATTTGAAACGTTTGGAGTTTGTAACCAAAGAAGACTACGGCAAAACCCGGAAACCATTAGCGTTTTTTCTGTTTTGAACCAGTAAAATCACATTCTTCAAGTCAGAGCCAAAAAATTTTCGCAAAAGTGTGTCTTGGTGATAATGTCATCAATAGCACTTTTCTACTTCCGAAGCCTGTATTGAGTTTTACTAAATATTTTTCAATAATTCAAAAAGACCACAACTGTTTTTACTACTTTTTCAATTACCTTCGAGAATTATGAATACTGGAAGTATTCTGAATATGGCTAGTATATTTAATTTAACAGTGAATCGAATGTCTCTGTCAATCATTTGACTGTAACTTTGGCTTCTAGCTTAAACTTAGTTGGTGATTGAATTAATGTACCAGATTTTGAAATAGTTAACCACTGTTTAATGAGTCTAATTGTGGTTTAGAATTATTGCATCAGAGTAGTGGTACAAGAGCTAGTTAACTTTTATCTATGTCAATTCATCATGAAATACTGTATCTCCAAGATAAGACAGGCCTTTTTGGGTGAATCGGAAACCATGAGAGATACACAGTTGGTTGAATTGAGAAAAAGTTTCTTTATTTTAGAGCTTCGAAAAGATATTTGAAAACAACCACAATTGGCTGATTTCTTGTAATTTTTTTTTCTGGCATCACTTAAGGAGATATTGAAAACACTTTCTCATTTCTACTCTTCAAGCTGTACAAAATGGTTTTCACAGACTTGAATCCGTCTCCGAGAAATCGTCATCAATTTTGTATTTTTATATGGACTGGAAAATGAAGGTATCACCCATTATAAGTTAGCCTTTGAGGCACACATTAGAAAAGGTATAGATAGGTATATGCTATCTTATACCCTCCCAAGACACATCGTTTGTTTCAAAATTTCAATCACAACATATTCAGCTTATAAATGTTTCCAAAAAAATAAAAAATGAAATGTATATAAATATATGTTTTGACAAAACACAATTATTGTTCACCTATAATTTAACGTAATTTCAATTCGTTTCTGAATTTTTTATAAGAATAATTTAAAATTGGTTGTAGTTCGTTAAAGTAACTTGGAGTAAAGTGGGAAAAACATCCCTCAGACTTGGTGGTATGATGGTGGGATGTAGAACAATACTCAAGTAGTGAAATTGACAGATGAAAGTTTCAAGATAGCGTCTGGGCGCCATCTGGGAAAACAGTTGAATGGAAAGGGGGGTCTTGTGACACATCATTTTGAAACTCCTGACGAATACTTCACAACTCTAGAATATAAAGTCGATATCTTCACCTACTACAAAATGGCGGAACATTTAATAATTTCCTGAAGACAAACACAGTAATCTATATTTTTAGAAATATTACTTTTTATCTGCCATATGGCATTTCCAACAACCCGATAAGGTTTGTTAAGTTATTTTTTGTTTATAAAAACGACAAAAAATGCCAGCACGACAATGAACATCATTGTTCAGTTAAAATATTCTCATTTAGTTTTCTGTTTTACTAGTAGAAAGGTAACACGTCAACAATCTCTAAAATGGTCAATTCTCGTCCATTTGAAGAAAAAATTGAAGCGATTCTTATTTACGGTGCGACGCGTAACTTTCACGAGACCGAAAGGATTTTCAATGAACTTTTTTCGAATCGTCCTATCTGTAGAAAATATTTGAGGGAACTTGTATCCAAATTCACAACTACCGGTAGTGTACATAACAAAAAGCCCCCAGGTCATCCGTCCATTCCGGAAGAACAGCAAGTGCAAATAATTGGTGAGATGGTAGTAATTCCTGAACAGTCTACTTATTCCACCGCGAATGTTTGTGAGGTGTCTCTTTCTACTGTGTGGAGACTTTTGAAAAGGAATAGGTATCATCCAAACAAAATTAAAATGGTACACCAATTAAATGAAGATGACCCTGATCGAAGAACAGAATTATGTGAAATCATTACGGAAACCATTGAAAGGCATCCTACCCATCTCCACAATATTTGTTTTAGTGACGAATGAACATTTTTTTAAACGGCAATGTTCACAGACAAAATTGCCGTTATTGGAGTGACACCAACCCTCAAGTTTTTCGGAAAACACATACCGAATATCCAGAAAAAATTAACTTTTGGACAGGAATATTGGGAAACCATATTGTAGGACCTCTATTTATTGATCAAAATTTAACAGGGGAACTGTATTTGAATATGCTGAAAACTACTGTTGACCCTCTCATCACTGAAATCATCAAAGCGAATCCTAATGAATTCGATATGGACATTGTATTCCAACAAGATGGAGCACCATCACATTACTTCAGATAAGTAAGAAACTATTTGGATACTACTTTTCCTGGTCGTTGTATTGGCCTTCGAAGTCATACAGAGTGGCTAGCCCGCTCATCAGATTTGACACCTGTGAACTTTTTTCATGAGGCTATTTGAAGCAAAAGGTATACGAAACTGAACCTGCCTCAATATTGGATATACGGCAGAGAATAAAAAATATTTGTAGAGATATTGACGCTACAGTGTTCGAAAATGTTCGGCGTGAAATATCGGATAGGCTGTTTATATGTCAAGAAGTTCAAGGCAACCATTTTGAGCATCTTCTGAACTGACCTCAAGCTTATTACCTCGTATTATGTATACAGGGTGTCCCTGGACTTCCTCTTTTCCTCTCGGAAATGTATAGAAGGGGTCAAAATATCACCAGTACTTCATATAACTTTTTTTCCTAAAAGTCTTCGTAAATAAGTTACGGGCCCTCGAAGTTACAAAATGAAAAATGTTTTTCTTTGATAACTTTTCAAGTGAATATTCAAAATCATCCAAATTTTGGTAATTGACTAAACAAATGAATTCCNCGCAAAAACTGAACCCCTCTTTTTTGTTCAACTGAATTGTTTATAACTTTTGAACTATTTGTTTGTGAAACTAAATTACTGTGGATAAAACTACGAACCTAGTGACACCTGAATAATTTTCTGTTAAGGCGAACTCAACTTTTGCCCTCGTGAACTAGACTAAGTATGCTGTACAATGAACTTGCGACTAGCTCAGATTTTACATTAGGGCGTATTCGGATTTAATTTTCATTATTGTTGAATATATTTAT